GGGTTTGAACACCAGTCGCTGTGCCTGCTTAGTCTGCTAAGCCATCTGGCTGGCCCACGATTATCATCATTTTTAAGAAAGTAGTTGGGGAGGGGACATCAAGGGTGCAGCTCCATGGTCAAAAGCCTACTTAGAATGCATAAGGCCTAAGGTTCAATTCCTAGCACTGAAAAAGAAAAAATACTTATCAATTTCATGCCAAAATAAATTTCAAAGAAAAAAAGGACATAAAAAATTCAGATCTAATTATAGTCTCATGCAAGCAACAAAAAGTTCTAAATTCAGAGTATGGTATGATTCATTTATCTTATTCATGGAAAAACTAAATGCATCTTAAGGGAAACAGGTAAAACTAAAGATAAGCAAAGGCCAGAGGCAGTACTTAGTAGAGCAGTAGCTAAAAGGCAGGAAGGAGAACGGAACTGGAGTCAGGCACACACCGAGCTTCCAGGGCACTGGTAGTAGTGTCACTGTCTATAACTCTTTACACAAATGTTTGCTCCATATTCCCCCGTTATTAAAAACAGAAAACCAATCATTTTATAAACATAAATGAAGGGGACCACAAAGAATTCATGTCCTTACAAAAACAGCCCACAAGTAAGACTAACTGCCTACCAAAAAGACCACATAACCTACCAATATCTTACCACACAGCTAAATAGCTAAAGAAATTAATGAGTTTGGGGAAGAAGCGGCACATGGCCTTACCCAAATGACAAAACTAATAATAAACTAAAAACTTTTTGAGCGGCTACTGTGTATTAGGCATTACGCATTTTATACATATTAACTCACACATCCTACAGTGCTGCTCTTGAGATCCATAACACAGCAATTAAAAAAAATTCAACCAAGTCACAAAGTAAATAAACAGTAAAACTGAAAGGGAAAGTCAAACAAATGCACCTTAGCAATATTCAACAGCCTTAAAATGTGCTGCTTTGGGGAAGTTCAGTGCTAAGTATGTGCTTTAAACCAACAGGTCTGGACATTACCCTGAGGTCCAATAACAAGAGACTGGATTAAAATGTAGATACACCATTTTGAATTAAACATATGAATTTATCTCCACTCCTTCCTAAAATATCACAATAAAAGTTCAGGGATGAAACAAGTAAAAGCTACAAGGACAACAAAAATAGAGAAGAATCAAGGGAGATGAAAATATCAAAAAGTTGTGCGAGCTATAAAGAGCTGAGAGTCTCCAAAGCTGAAAATGGGTCCTATGTGTGAGAAAAGGACTAGGCCTCAGTGCCTAAACCAGTCAAGCTCTCTCAGTCCTGAGAAAAGCATCCTGCCTGGTTAATGTCGCTATTAGTCACCAGACAACCTTCTGGGATGTGATACTAACTTCACAAAGATATAAATGAATGCCCCTACTGTTGTGCTAGGGATCATTTCACCAACCAGACAGACAGGCCACCACCGGACCCAGCTCTTATCTTCCTTCCACCTGTTCCTCATTCCTGCCACTGTTTCTCCCCAGGGTACACAGATCACACCCAGAGACCAAAGGTTCTCAACAAGAAAGCATAATGATGATTATGCCACGCATGGCAATGAGCAGAGAGCCAATATGCTCCCCGGACCCCAGGGGAATCTGAAGTGAAACACCCCCAAGGCTCACACCTATAATCCCAGAATTTGGGAGGCAGAGGCAGGAGGATGGCAGTGAGTTTGAGGCCAGCTTGGGCTACATAATCAGTTCAAGTTCAGTCTAAATAACACAATAAGACACTGTCATCAAGAAACCATAGAGAAAACAACAAAAAAGTACTATAGTTAAGTGAAGAATATGTCAAGCAACTGAAAAAGCAAGTTAATCCATAAAAAGCAAAAAGTTGTACATAAAACTGCAAACCTAATTATGTAATCACAGTATTACTTGCCTCCACAAATACCACTATTTATATATTCATCCTATAGATACAACCAAAAACTGTGCTCACTCTTCACTAGTGCAAGCCAGGTGTGGTGCTGCACACCAGTAATCCCAGGATTTAGGAGCCAAAAGTAGAGAATTATCGTGAGTTTGAGGCTAGCCTGGATTAGATAGTAAATTCAAGGGTAGCCTGCACTACACAGAAATACTGGGTGTGGTAGGTAGCACATGCCTGTAATCTCAGAACTCGAGGCTGAGGCAGGAGGGTTGCCACTAGTTTGAGGACAGCCAGGGCTACAAAGTGAGTTCAAAGCCACTCTGAACTTACAGTGAAACTCTTGTCTCACAAAGACAAAAAAGAAATAAAATGATTTACATTCTTAAGAAACTAACTTCAAGCCAGGTGTGGTGGCACATGCCTGTAATGCCAGCACTGAGGCAGAAGATTGCCATGAGTTCGAGGCCAGCCTGGGCTACTTAAGCAAGTTCAAGGCTGGCCTGAACTATAGTGAGAACCTGTCTCAAAAAAAAAGAAAGAAAAGAAACTAGTATCAATGTTCTAAATGTAAGAGAGCAAAACAGTTCACGTATTTGGCAGTAAGACTTGTTCTTAACATCTTTTGCAGGTTCCACACTACAATAAAACTATATTTACTTGTCAGATTTTGTTAAGTCTTTGTTCTTTCATTCAGTAATTACTAAACCTCTATTATGTACCAGGGCACTATCCTGGGTACCAAGGATTTTGCAATAAGCAAAACAGAAAACTTCTCAATCCCTCTCTCACATTTGAACAAAATAAACTTTTATTGGCAATACAAACACAAGTACACAACACACTCCTCTAACTTTCAAGGATAATCAGAAAAGAAAAGGTCAAAGAGGAAGACAAAACTATATTAGGAAAAGACAATTGTTTTAGTCAAGGCAGGCCTCTAAAGAAGTAATACTGTATTTAGAGAAATACCTGAAGTGAGGGGGGTGGGCAAGCAAGGAGTGTCTAGGGAGAAGGAATACAGAGAAAAGACTGAGATATCAAAAGTTGGGGAATGCCAAACAATAGCAAAAAGACCACTGTGGTGAGAATGAAATGAGCAAAGGGATAACAGCCTGAGACGATGCAGGAGAGGTAGATGGGGGCATCATGAGGAAATTCACTCTAATGGTGATACCATGACACTTAAGGTCTTAAAAAGATCACTCTGCTGCATGGATGACAAATTATGTGAGGTAGAAAAGGGACAGAGACAGGAAAACCTGTCAATTATAGGAATCCAGGCAAGAAACACTAGTGACTCAGAATACAGCAGTTGGGTAAGAAGATAATGTGTTCTGATGGCCGATCCAATGTAATCTGCTGAGGGATAAAGTATGAGAAAGAAGAAAATCATGGACAATTCTTAGATGCTTGACCAAAGCAATTGGTGAATTGGTGGTGCCATTACTAAGCTGGGCAGACCAATAGAGAATTAAGTTTGAGTGACAGAAATCAAGAGCCCTCTTCTGGAGGTTAAATGCAAGGCCTCTTGAATCAGTAAATACGTAAGTCAACTGTCTGGATAAAAACTGAGGTTGAAGGTTTAATTCCAGGGGAGCCTCAGCTCACGAATTTAATTTGTTCCATGATTCTGGAAAAGATGTTTGTCACCTGACACGTAGTTCACAAACGAAAATAAAATTTTGCCAAATGTTTCTGTTTGCAAACCAAATGGTTCACAAACAAAAGTATTCATGAATCAAGGCATGACTGTAGTTAAAGGTACAGAACTACACAGCCATCTGCTGGGGCATTAAAGCAGAAGAAACGCAGACGAGGGCTACTGGTAGTCCTGAGACCCATCACCATTAAGAGGTCAGGAAGGAGAAACAAAAAAACAATGAGATGCCTCAGAGGCCAAGAGGAGTGTTTCTAGCAGTAGACAGAGATCCCTTGATTTGTAGCTACTAATAAGTAAGGACTGGATTTGGTGACTTTCATAAAGGTGGCTTTAGTAGAGCAATGCAGAAGAAAACGTTATATATGTTCAAGAAAGAACTAGAAAACAAATGGCAGAGAAAACTCTCATTGTATCATACTTTACAGATGATAACAGTTGACTGTGGTATCCCTAGTGTCTCATTAGCTCTTGACATACTATAAGTGAACCAAGACACAGAATGAATGTCAAATCTAAACTTCCTAATACTTCAAACTAAATTAAGAAACCCAAACAGCCAAGAGTTCAAGAATTTCTTCCATGCTCCACTTATTCCTAGCCTCCATAAGCAAGAATAAACTACAGAAACATGAGATTCTTATCTTTAATCTGCATGATTAAGCATTTTGATTAGAAGCTGAACTAAGAAATAAAAGAAGAGCCCTCCCTTTTAGCTCCCTAAATTCCTAGAAGATATGCTTAACTAAAAGTTAAGAGAGAAATTATGAGTGCCGGCCAAACAGCTCCGCAGATTAAAGCACCTGCAAGCAGACACAGGGGCCAGGGGTTCAATCCCCAGGCCTGAAGTGCCGGCCCCACCCCCAGAAATTGACACTGGGCATGGTGGCACATGCCTATAATCCCAGCTCTTGGGAGGCTATAAACAGGCAGATCACTACAAGTCCAATCTAGTAGTGAGACTCTGAACACCCTGTAGACCCTTCCATAAAAATACAAAAAGAGAGAGAGAAATTATGAACATGTCAGCTGGCCATGGTAGTGAGCAGGTGCAATCTCAATGGGGAGGCTGAGGCAGAATAGCAAGTTTGAGCCCAGCCCTGGGCAACTCAGGGACTTAGATAGCTACTGGTTTAATCCCCAGTACCAAAAAAGAAAAGTGAAAAATGTTACCAAGGAGCTTAAAAAGCAAAAGCTAAGTGTGGTGGCACATGTCTGCAACCCCAGCACTTGGGATGCTGAGGCAGGGGGATCGCTGCGGGTCCAAGGTCTGCCTGAACTATATAATGAGACTCTATCTCCAAAAAAGAGCAGTCCAGTCATTTAAACAAAGTATTTCAAACCCTCTGCTAAGACCTTATAACACCCAACACTTCCAGACTGTAGTTATTTTTCTCTTTCTCAAAGTACAGCAGTAAAGTCCTTTGTGGATCAGACACATACCCAGAAGAGCTTCCTACCTGACATAGCATCTTCTGCTAAACCCTTTTCTCGTTCAATTTTTTCCTCTAGAGTTGAAATGCAGAATTCATAGCCAGCAAGAGCAAATTCTTGTCTGTGAAACAGATCAATAATCAGCTGTTAAACTCAACTCTTCTTTCGACCTTATCTTTTCCATCTCAGTAAAACAAAGAGGGACCTTGCTTGCTATCTCTTCAGACTATTACTCTACTATTGCCGGTAAGTTTTATTTTTCCTAGAATTACCTATCTTAGATAAATTAAGACATAAAAAAGTGCTGCCAAAGTTTTCATACCTGGAGTAACCCATAATCTTTCAGCATCCCCCACTAACAGAATTTCCCATGGGTCAATTTCTCTACACGTCAAAATTATTCCCTATGTGGGAACTCCTCACACCTGGTCAAAGTGCTACAAGCCTGCACAGAGGCTCAGGCCCCTCACTGGAGGTAAATCAGCTCACTCGTGCACAGGAGGAGCCACTCTAGGCCCTCATGCAATGTTTGGAAAGCACGGATCACTTAATACTTAACCCGACGTTTAGGTCTTTGATAAAAGAAGTCTCTTATAGAATTAGAACTCCTAGCTATGGTATGGGGAGACATTTAGCCCAAATCTATAGCCCTGGATCCACAGTCAACTAGTGAGGGCACCCAAAGAAGCAGATTCACTCTGCTGTCCATTTCCATAGACAAAGAGGAGCACAGCAGAAAATTACTTCTCTACATAGGAGCCCAGCTTTCATTCTTACCAGAAGGGCCACTACAAAGCTCATTATTTTCTAGCACTTTACAAAAGGTGTTCTGATGGTCTTGCTGTTCTACTCTGCTCTCAGAAGAACAGAACTGTCTGCTTCTGACACTGGACTCAAACCTTAAGAGAAGGGACCATCTCTGGCCAGGATATGAGGGAGAAGGAGGCTGCCACAAAAGGCCCCAAGTGAAAACAGAAGGTCTATGAAAAACTCTCCTTCCTACTTGTATCAGACCTTCTAAGTCTCAGGACCTAGCTATGGCTTTTCTGTAAATCTCATGTTTCTGCAAAGTATAGAGTAACTTAAGAGACTAATCATTTAATGGATACCTCAATAGCTCTGACCTCTACAAGACCAATAATGAATCTTACTTGCCAGTGTTATTGGTTGTGGGCTTCTTATTCCAGTTTAGATTTCATCCTGTTTAATACTCTTCTAAGGAAACCTGACCCCAGCTGCAATGTTCCTTGGCACTAGCTAAACTCAAAGCTCCCCAAAAGTCCTAAGTCAAAAGCTTGCAGAAGTCCTAGCCTACTTAGTGTGGGAATAAGTTACAGGGAGAATATGCACGCAGGTCCTGCTAAGAAAGGAGCTGATGACCAGAGCAGCACGGACCAGTGCAAGGTTTTGTGGCCTCAATGAGCACCTCTGTACAATATATGGCTTGATATGCCACTCTGAACCTCCAGCATCAACTTCTATAGCACTAACATCCAAACAGAATCTAGCCTTAGTGCTCCCCCTATATTGACCCTCAAAATATAAATCTCTAGAGTTATCTCTAGAGGAGTTTTCAGTGTGCTCTACTTCATCTTTGAATTCCACCTAGAGACTGACAGGAATGAAAGGGCCACACTGTCAGAGTCCCAGGTTTTGGCTCATATCCAAAGCTTTCCTGTAGAGTTGGATATCACTTCTTTATAACTTAGGCTCAACAACTATTTTAAAAGTAGCACCCATTTCCTGACTTACTCATCCAAAGGTCCCGTGTCTAGCTATTTTCTCTCCCAGAAACCTAGCTACCATCATCTCTACAACCACTAAAGGCAGTGGTCAAGACATTTAAACAGAACATCTTAATTCTAAACCCTCTGTCGAGGCCTTAAAAAGTCAGTTGTTTCCTTTTCAATTATTTTTAATTGTTTTAGGCACTTATTTTCTACAATGGATAACAAATAAGCAACAAGATATTCCCACAGTGACTCTCAATACTTAACTTCATACTTAACTTCCTCTTTTACTGATGCCTATATTAGTGTTGTGCCTTCTTCAAAGTCTATCATCGCCCACAGCTTTTCTACTGTTCTTTCTAATTATGAGCTAAATTACAGTTCATACTCTAAAATCCCATCTCCTTTCAAACCAGAACATAAAACTGATTAGCTTTATCACAGGGTAGTCTGAGGTGTGAGGACTGTGCCTCACATAGCAGACTAATACAAAAACAGCAAGAACAAAATGGGAAAAGCCTTAAAATTGCAAAGCTGAGCAGTAGGACAATTGGGAGTATGACACCCAATTTTCCGGAGACCACAGATGACTTGGAAGTAAATGATTATGTAATACCCCACGGGTCAGCATTTTCTGCCCACAGTGTTATTCCCTAACTGCTATAACTACTTACCTATTCTGAGCAGCATAGATACTGGCCAACTTGAGAGAGATTTCAATTATAGCATTGTCTTCCTGTTGGGACAAGGAAAAATTCATGACAAGTAAAATTTTCTCATGGAATATTTCATATCAATTTCTAGGTGGACTCTGGCTTCAAAGTCACACAGTCTGTTCTTTTAGGAGAATTAGCTAACTGTGAATTCCTCAGCAATCAACCATGCTTCTGAAACAGTGAAAGAACAGCCATTTCCATAAAGGTCTAGAAGAAAAAAACAAAACAAAACAAAACAAAAAAAACCCCTACCTTTTGGTCAAAGCAATATATTGGGGGATGAAAGAGTTTTTCAAGAAGTATGACTATCTTGCAAACTGTCAATGAAGGACCAGTAATACACTATGTCCTTACCTGCTTCATACCCCCTCCAAGCAGGTAACTCATTGTTGCTTTAAAAAGTTGTTCTGCCTAAAAGCATAAAGAAAAGATTTTCTTTTACTTGTGCCCCTTTATCTCTTATGACCATGAATTTTAAGTACCACTCTGATGCATCATTCCTTATAAACACACACACACACACACACACACACACACACACACAAATATGGAAAACAGTTCTCCTGTGAAAGGAGAATGGACCAAAATATCAGGACCCCATATTCTGTGTACTTTAAGCTACTCTTTGATGAGCAGAAACCAGCTTCAGAAATTAACTTCTCTTTCAAAGTGTTGCAGAACAGATTGCTGATTGTCCCAATATTCCACTCTTCTATTTGATTTTTAGAAGATCAGCTTTCCTTTTAACTAAGAATAATCATAGAAAGTCCCAACCAAGAATCCTAGGTAGAAGGAATATAAACAACTTTTAAGCTGTATTTTGTAAGGATGCCATTACCCCTCATCCTCTTTTTCCTTGTGAGGCTAAAGATGAATCAACTTACCCATGCACAGGAGGATCTGTGTTGGAAAAACCTTGTTTTTGCACCAGACACCAGTGATGCCTAAACTGCCCTTTACTCCTCAGCCTACCCATGGATCAAAGCATTTATGATGAAAACAAACAAACAAACAAACAAAAAAAAAAAAAAAACCACCTGTACTGTGGGGTCTCTTTGTGACAGGAACTTAACCTATACCCTTACTGCTATAGTTCTCCTGAGGCTAGCATTTCACAAATTTAAGATTTCTGTTCAAGACACAGTCTCAGTAGTGCAAGCTGGCCTTGAACTAAGTATGTAGACCAGGATGGCTTGAAACTCCTCCTGGCTCAGCCTCCCAAGGGTTGGGATTACAGGCATATACCACCATACCTAGCTACAAATTCAAGATATTACAAGATGATTTACTTACATTTTCAAGTTGACCTCGTATAAATGCTAAGTTGGCCATCTGAAAGCAAATTACAAATTGTTGTTTAGTTTAGAACATTGTATTCTTACTTATTTAAAAAACACTTAAGCTAGGGATTTACTTTTGCTTTGACCCCTAAATAAAAATGATTATTAAAAGTAGACAAAGTATATCACCAGTTAATCTGCTAGTTCAGTGCAGCAATGGTGCGTGAAGTAAACACTTTGTTGCATACACTTTATTGATAACCAAATGTAGGTCTATTCATTACTGAAGCAACAACTGAGACATCACTTCTAAGCAACCCTCCCAGGGATTTTAAAAAAAAGAGAAAAAAAGTTTAGGATGTCCTCACCCTAAAGGTAAGGAACATAAATCAACAAAGAAAATAATACTACCCTGCATTCACCCTTCCTCATCAATAATTCTGAATGATTAGAATAATTACCAAATCATAAGTGTAAGTGATGGCCTTCTTATTATCACTCTGATAGGCAAGGCGAAGAGCATCATGCAAAATTAGCTCAGCCTCTTCTGGTTCATCTTTCATGATGCTCAACTAAAAGGAGAAGACATACTAAGTGAAATACAAGATGCAAATGATACCATAGACGTAGATATAGATATGCATCCTGATACACTGAAAGAAGCTATTCATCAGATATTTACTGATCATGTACCATGCAAGAGGTATTACGTCTACGCAGGTGACAGTGTGGCCATATAACGATGTTCTGTCCAACAGACACAGGCAGAAAGAATGTAATGTTTACATTCTACTTTGTAAGAAAACTGTTTGCCCTTCATCTTGTTTTTTTCTTCCTGAAGGCTGGAGATCCTGTGGAAAAAGTAATCGAGGTTCTCCTCCAAAGCGAGTCAGAAAAACCTTCTAAAAAAGTGAGCTAAACTAAGGAAGAACGAAAATGAGTGAACTAAATAAGGAACTGGAGCAAAGAATGTGTCAAAGAGAATTTAAAAAGCCGTAATAGACCAAGAGAATGGTTCTTTAGAAAAAATACAAGAGATTCAAAAAAATGATGACAATGATAACTAACTGGAATATTAGTGTGAAATGGGTGAGTGAGAAAGGCTGGTTTAAATTATGTAGAGTTTTGTAACCAAGGAAGGGATCTTAGATTTTATCCTAAGTGTAGTAGGAATTCAGAGTTGTCAGGCAAGAAGGTAATATCATCCCATTTACATTTTTTAGAAAGTCACTTAGTTTGCTATGTGCAGAACAAATTGCAGAGGAGAAGAGGGTAGCATACGCTACAGGTCTGCTTTCAGGTCAGAGTAAATAAGAGTTTTTGAACAGATTGGAGAAATATTTTTGGATTTGGTGGCACTAGGAATTACTGCTGTGCATTGGAAAATAATGTTAAGGTACAAGTTTTGAGAATGAGTATGAGGCCTGGCATCATGGTATACACCTGCAATCTCAGTACTCAGGGACCACTGTAAGTTCAAGATCAGCAACTGAAAAGTGAGACCCTGTCTCAAAAAGACAGAAAAAAAAAAAAAAAGAAGAAAGAAAGAAAGAAAGAAAGAAAGAAAGAAAGAAAGAAAGAAAAAAGAATGAGTATGAGGCCAGGTGTGGTGGCACCAGCACTTCAGCAGGTCAACAGGAATCCAAGGCCAGCGGGGCTACCGCTACCTACTGACTTCAAGGCCAGCCTGAACTACATAGCAAAACCATCAAAAAACAAAAACAAATCAAAATAAAACAGTTGCTAAGTGAAGAAACTGATGTAGTCAACAGAAGACAGTGAAAAAAAAATGTGTTGGGAGTCATGTAAAATCAACTTAGTTTTGGGCACAGTGAGTCAGAGAGGTGGTGGGGCCTCCCAGTGGAGATGGCATGTCAGTGGCACACTGCAGTTTGAAAATATCAATTTGGATATAGTTGGCATCAAGTTGGTATTTCGCCCAACCCTAAAGAGAAGAGAAAACGGGACGTGGAGAAAAAGATTAAAGAAAAAAGCAAGTTGCACAACCAAAAACTAATTGCATTTTCAGGATGCCATATATACAACTTATGCACAATGGTATCATTTCAGTTTGATAGATTAACTGATGAGCACTACAAACATTCTGGATAATTTGGATGAAAGAGCTATGCCCAGTGGACACCCATCTCCATCTATACTAGCAATTGCTGCAGTTTTGCTTGCAGGCTCTAGAGACAGACCGGCCTGGGTGGATCCCAACCCCCATACAGATGACCTACGTAATTCTGGAGAATTTTATCCTCGGAACCATCATCCGTGCTTCGCTAAACTGGAGGGGGTAACGCGCAGCGGCGAGGCCGCCAGACCTGGTATGCAAAGACTGCGCGCGCGCTGAGCACCTCACCTTGGCTCGTTTCAGCAGCCGTATGATCTCCGCCTCTGCCTCATCTGCCGCGTCCTCGGGGGCGGCCCCGCCTGCTCCCTGCTGCTCGTCCCGGTCTGCTGCAGCAGGCCTCGAGAACCAGGAAAGCGCTGCGGGAAGGGGCTCTGAGGTCACCGGACCTGGCCCGCGCCCGTGTCCCCGCCCGGTCGGCCCCGCCCGGCCCGCGCACCTCACCTGCCAGGAGGGGCAGCAGGCCCGGGCCCCGGCCGTGCGGTGCAACTCGGGGGGACGGCACCAACACCTCGAGCTCCTGGCTTTCCGAGGACCTCTGGAACAAGCGCGCCGAGCAACCCCGACAACGCCGCCCTGCGGCCCGCAGAAGACCTCGCCCCAGCGTCCGGCTCAGGAGGCGGAACATGCTCCAGCCGCGTCCTCTGCGCACTGCAGGCCCTGCGGGATCTCAGGACGTTCCGCCCCCTGCACCGAGCGGTCAACGGATTGGTCGGGTCGTGACGTCCGAGTTGCGTCAGCGTTTTTGTCCGCATGCGTGGTGACGCACAATAACGTCACTCCTTCAAGCCCTGCCCTCTGTCGGAAGCGGGCGTCACTCAAAGGCGCGAGGCTGAAGTCCGGGAGTCCGCTGTGAAGCGTGCAACCTTGAGCGCTATGGCCGTCGCGTTACCCGCAGTCGTGGAGGAGCTCCTGAGCGAGATGGCCGCAGCAGTGCAGGAATGCGCGCGAAGTACGGACCTTAGTCGTGCGTCGCTGTGTGGAGCGCGAAGGCGGGGGTTGGGTGCGGTTGGCGCGTCTTAAGTCTGGGGCGTTGGGCTCTGCGCCCTTCGGGTTCTCCTTGCCCAGGCCTAAGCCCTGAGGTTCTTCCTAAACCCTATGGTCGTAAAAAATTAAAAAGCGAAACAATAAAATTTTGGCCGATACAAATCAAACGCTTTCGTCAAGGGTCCCTTCTGGGAGCATGCAGGCCAATGGCAAAGTGCTTGCAGCGCCGCTAGGCACACGTGACAAGGGCGCCTGGGAAGTGGAAAGGGCGGACGCCTTTGATGAGTTGTGAAAAAGCGAAATTTCGAATTCTTAAACCTAACACTTTTCTCAGATCCAGTTAATTTTCAAATTAGTACTCTCGTGCATTTTGTTCAGAAAGTAAATATTGTAGGGTCACAGGCTCGCTCGAATGCGTACGCAGTTGGTGGAGTAAATCTGAAGGTTGTGAAAGTACCTTTTTTCTTCAGACCAGCAGAGGATGCTCTATGCCTGTGTTCACCAAAATCGCTGAGAAAGGGACAAGCAAGGCCTTGAAACAACAACAAAAAACCCCATTTTTAATAAAAATGTTTTGACTAATTAGACCCACTCTTTCAATGTAGAGGTGGTTACCTCGTAAATAACCAAATTAGGTTTCAGAACTGCCTTTGCTTATTGATCTTGATGCCTTTTGTACACCTAGAAAGAACATTTTCAGTTATGTTTTTAAGGGACTGAGAAAAGAAAGCCAACTTTTATTCTCTCATTTCAGTCAGAAATAGTCTTAAATAATAATGCTTAAAATAATATGCCATCCAGGTATTCAAACATGTTCTGATTCCAGGAGGGGTGAAAGAAAACCCAGTGAGTTGTCAGCTCACACAGAATGTCTTGGACTCTTAAGTGATAGTCTGAGGATTTTGAATGCTATTACTTTACAAAAACAGTGTCAGAACTGGTTTCTGTTAGAGTGGATTGATCCATACAGTAACAATCTTGAAGGAGGCCCAGTAGGGGCCCTTGGTATCTATGGCTTAGACACAGGGACTACTGCCATTGGTTCATTGTTTTCTGCATTTTAAAAATCTTTTCCCACCCCCAGGAGAAAGAGCTTTATTTAGACTATAAGCTGGAGAATGAGTTACTATATTGAACTAAGGATCACCGTCTTCAAAAGTGGCTCCTTGATATGCTGCAGCTGTAAGATCTGTTAAGCATTGAGAAGTTGGCCTTTGCTATCCTCTGGCTGTCATCTTCCTGTTTCCCCTAGCCAGTCAGGACTAAACAGCAGGATAAGGCTCACAAAGAGGTATTTGGGGCCACAAGGGCTAATTCCCCAGTATAGTGCATGATAGCTCAAGTCAGTGGCCAAGCAGAAATGGTGAGAGTTGAGGGAAAGGTCCAGGCCCTGTATTTAGACTGTCAATGTTAGAAGAAGAGGAATACTTGCCATGCTTGTGGAGTTTGTGT